ATTGCCGGCGGCCTCGCCAACATTGACAACGTGCCGGACCTCCAAGCGCGCGTGGAAGCGGCCGCCAAGATGGCGAACGCCCACAACTTCATCTCGCAGTTTCCCGACGGGTACGAGACGCAAGTGGGTCTCAAAGGCGAGCAGCTCTCGGGCGGCCAGAAGCAGCGCATCGCGATCGCGCGTGCGATCATGAAGAACCCGTCGATTTTGCTCCTGGACGAAGCCACGTCGGCGCTCGACTCGGAGAGCGAAAAGGTCGTCCAAGAAGCGCTCGACAAGCTGCTGGCGGCCAAGGGCCGGACGACGATCGTGATTGCGCACCGCCTCTCGACGATCCGGAACGCCGACAAGATCTGCGTCGTGAGCGGCGGCCGCATCGCAGAGCAAGGCACGCACGATGAGCTCATGCGTCTCAACGGCATCTACACGCACCTCGCGTCGCACAACCAGATTTAGGTTTACAGTGTCGTCGCTCTATCCACTAATATATTGTCGTGTCGTACATAACATTGGGCTGGGCAACATGTTTGGTCGTCGATGGACGGACGGAATTAGGGGAGACCCGAGATAACATCACGAGGAACTTCCCACCAAAGCACAAAAGAGGCGGTGCTGGAGGCATAACAGCTTGACTTCTAGGCGTCTCGGAAGATGACGCCGAGATGTATGGAACTGGTAGGCGACTCATTCGAGTCATAGAGTCGTCACTACAATTTCAAAATGGCCATCGAAAAGCGAGTATAATCAAAACCAAACTACCCGGCCCAATGCCCCAATGTTAGTCGTCGCGTCGATGGCTGTTGCTGCACAAGCCTACACGGGCGCATGCGTGAGCCAATGCAGGAGCAGCGAGCGATGGTCGCGTACGCTGGCTCGGTCGTCGCGCGGTACGAGAGGGCGGTAATGCTGGTGACGACGGCCTGGAGGGGCCACCACGGGCTGTACCGTTTGTACTGGCAGGTTTAGCTGCAGCTTTGTTTGCCAAAATGCAATAAACTGGTCAGGTTTCGAGCAAAAGCGTGAGCAATATTACTATGTTCGGCGCTTGGCGCCAGAAACCGTCGCGCGCCAACTTCAGATCCAGGTCATTTCAAAAAGAGGTGATGGCCTTGATTTTGGCATACTGGCAATGTACGCAACAGTGATAGAGACTGGGTGCGTCGACGTCACTGTGTGGGAAGTGCGGAACGCAGAAATAAATTTGCGTTCTCGTGTTGACGGCCCTGAGGGTGCAAACGTCGGTTGCGCGCGTCGATTTGCTTCAATTTGCATCGAGTTGGTCAAAAACCTCTCGCACCGTATAATCTTACCACATGTGGGACGAAAACCTCCGTTATCTTATACGGTGTCCCACTCCATTACCTTGCTGACCGCGACGCTAATCACGAAATCTCGGCGGGGTTAGGGTGGTAAGGTTGCGTTTCCGAGAGCCAACGTCGAGGCCGACGTTGCTTCTCACAATTTGATTTGCTTTGCATCGGATACATTCGATGAAG